AATTGGGGCAATCCCGGACTTGGAAGCTGCCTCCACAAGTGAGTGCAACCTTATTGAGAGCCAAAGATAGTAGAATCTAGAATCAGTGGGTCATTCTGACTCTCTTGTTCCTGCTGATCTAGAACCTTAACAGATTCCAAACACTTGATTAGGGCTTTGATTGTCTTTCACTTGGGATAGAGATGGGCAACTGAATATCTCTGTATACTGGTGATACCTCATCCTCAATTGATGGGTGTCTTCTCCCTGAGGTTTCATAAAGATGCTTAAGAGGAGAAGGGATCCTGAAAAAGTCAAGCAGGGCAAGATCAAATTAATATTTGGATCAGATGCCACCAAGGAATTTCAATGCAGCTAATTACACTAGAAAGTTAACAACAATCCTGCAGGTGCTGCTGTACTAACCCCTTTGTTGTTATTGACTCTGTGTAAGTTAGAATGGAAATTAGAAAAGAGAGCTTTGTAATATTGTGTCGTATCTTCCTCCTGTTGTGAAAGGGAAATGGGTTGACAAAATCCTTTGTGCTAGGTTGCAAACACTGCAAACATTTCACAACAGTTTTTTTTCATTTTACTTTTTTTTCGGGGAGAGGGAAGGAAACAATTTGGGAAGGAAACAATTTCTTAAAAAATGCACATAAAGCTTAAACCTGATATTTAAGAACCCCTAGCTGATCACTGTGCTGGTCAACTTTTACTTTGGAAATCTGGTCTGAAGCATACTCTTAAAAATCAAAATCCACTTAAGGAACATATTGTTTAATATTAATGTCATGATGTTAAAAATTTACCCAATCTGGGGTTCCAAGTTTTTTTTTTTTTTTTGCCCTAGATGAGCAATCCTATCCTTGAATTAAGTCATCTAAAGGGCTGTTCGATTTGATGCAAAGTTGAAATATCACACAGATGAAACATCCTAGATAAGCCAGAACAGTAGTTTCCTGGTTTATCCATTCCATGATCAAACTAATGAAGAGGAAACACCCAATAGAGAGCACTGAGCTACCTACAATATCTCAAAGATTTCCCTGGGCTGGGGAGAATGAAATAGCTGTCAACAATGGCCATTCCATGATGGCAAATCCCAAGGGAAATTAGCTTACAAAAAGACAGTGTCTTTCCAGATCATGAGAAAATGGGTACATTTACAGTATCTAATATTTTGTCTAAATATCCATATCTCCTATATTTAAATGAGATTCCCTCCACCCATGATGGCTTGGTGGTGGCCTTATTTTCACTAAGAATGTGGTGCTAAAGGAAGTTGCTATAGAAAGTGAGCAAATAGTAGAGGAAAGTAATGAAAGTGGGCAAAAGGGTGAAGATACAGAAGATGCAGTGACTGAAAAAGAGACAAGGAAAAGAACAAAGTTCTTGCTATTATTTCAGGGAAACATGGATAAACATGCCCATTCTATTCTCACTTTTCCCCTTGTTCTTCATGTGCAGAAGGTTAGTGTTTCCCATGGTGGACTTCTGTTCATGGTGACTCATCACACAGATATTTTGTAAGATACAAACCCTCTTCAAGTGAGTGAGGATAATAAAATTGGGGACAGCATATAGATAGTTATATGGAAATACAAACCAAGATTGCTAGAAGTAAAAGGAAGGTGAACAAATTTGGTTTACTTGACTGAGGTTAAAATAAGACATGTTTCTATAAAATTCTGTGAATGCTTTATGAACTTTTTGTTGATGCCAGAAATGTTGAAATGTTAATGATTTATGTATTTGCCTAAGGAGAGGAATGGATTATGGGAAAGAGGGACACTTGGATGTAATCTTATAGGCAGTAAAATTTTGTTTGTACTTGTGATAAAGTTTGGAAGTCACTTCTTTAAATATTTTCCTCTTTTTTCTTATGTTTTGTTCTTTCTTGTTTTCTTTTTCTTATTTTTCTTCCCACCCCTTTTTCTTGAGCTTTCCATTCTGTCTTTCTATATATCTTTCTTTTTTCTTCTAAATTTAATTTGTATTGTCTTTCATTATTTTTTTTTTTAAAAAAATACACATTATTTTTTTAAAAAGGAAATACAAGCCATTTAACTCAGTGGAATTTAACACACAGTAAGCATATGTATGAAGCTAGTTTGGTCTAGTGCTGGCCTAAGATTAGGAAGACCTAATTTCTAGTACTGTTTTAGGCATGGAAGTGTATTGGATGATTTTGGATTAAGGCATTTTCTCTCAGGCCTAGTTAAAAAGCAATGGCAAACCACTTCTGAAAATGTTCTTTAGATAATTGTACAGATCTGCCCATGTAGTCATCAGGAGTCAAAAAAAGAAGAAAAGATTTTTATAGATCATGTTTGCTGAATCTGGATTGTTGCAGTCCATTTTTAGACATTGTGCCAATTATCACAGCCAATCACAATTAAAGCTAATGTAGGATAACAGCAAAGACAATAATGCTGGGGGAAAATGAACATGGCAAGAGAGCATAAAAACATTTGCGAGAAAGCTCAACAAATGGTGGCTCTAGCCCCTAGGGTTTTTAAAATGCAGGATGAAATCCTAAACATAGCTAGAAACAGAGAGACACATGAATGCCTGCATGTGAGATATCATTTTGGTTCAATTTTCCTCATGTACAAAATGCAACTATCTCCAGCAGAGGTGGGAAACTATGGCCCGTTTATGACTTGTGGACTTCAACTCCCAGAATTCCTGAGCTAATTCTGGGAGCTGAAGTCCACAAGTCATAAAAAGGTCATTATTCCCCACCCCTGATCTACAGTATAAGGCACTCTCTCTATTTATTTATTCATTTATTTAAAACATTTATTTAGCCACCCGTCTTTCAATCAACTGGGTGGCTCCCAATCAAAAATTAAAAGACATATAAAATCATTTTAAAAACTACAAAACATGACTAGTTAAACACAAAACATTAAAACAACAAAAATGGTGCATCTGGCACCATTCCAGATGTGCCATTATCTAATCCTGTCTCCAGCCTTTTTAGAAGGAAAAAGAGTAGAGATCTGCCAAACCTCAGGGGGAAGAGCGTTCCATAGGGCAGGGGTTGCCATAGAAAAGGCGCCCGTCCTCGTTCCCAAGGGATGACATTATTTGGGGAAGGGACAAGGTGTGTGCCCAGCCTGTCTACCTGGTAGAATGGGTAAGATGTCCTTAGGGAAAGGCAGTCCCACAGATTGTCCAGTATTGTCTACATTAGCAAGGTTTTATGGGACATAAATTCAAACATGGACAGATTCCTTTCATAGAAATTTAATGAGAAGTGCCAAGTGTGTATACACAATTGTTTCACATGAATCTTTTGTGTGCATGCTGGCATGTATGAATTTGTGCCAAAATATTATTTGATGAGCTTTCTCATCAAAATGAGTGGAGTAAAAAATCTAGGCTCTTTGTTGTGGCGTGTATGTCAGCCTGAGGTTTTCGTCTTGCTAGCAATAAGAATAAATCAAAACCCATTCCTGAATTAAAGGCTGAATCTTGGGGAATTTTGGCTAACAACATTTACTTAATTTCTTTCTCTATTTCCTGGATTGGCTTTGCTACTTGAGATATGTTTCTGCTACAAATGATGCTATCTTGCAACAATAAAAAAACAAGTAAAATACGCTTCGGAAATGGAGCAAGCTGGCCAAGAATTGCTCCATCAATTCTAGGACCCTGGACAACCCTAACCCTATGCAATCCAGGATCAGGGGTAAAAGCGCAGTCTTCAAGATAGCAGGTTCAGGGCTAATCAATCCTGCAGGGCGGTGAGGTGGCCTGCTATTCCAGTCAGCAGGCATTGCAACAGATCTGCTTGCTAGGCCCCATGAGAAGATGGTATTGCTCAAGACAGGATACAATGCAACCTCACTCTGTCAGGTTTTACAAAAGCAATGGGCGAAAAACATTCCTATTTGCGTATGTATAATCCACATATCTCCTAGTTGACTAGAGCCTTTGTGAGATGAGGTGATTGGGTCCATGTGGTGATGAATAGATCCTTTATGATCAGGTGGTACCTTCCTCCTCAATGAGTTATTGCTTGACCCTTGTCAGGCACAAGCAACTGGAATAGCTCTGAGGCCTAGGTCAAGAGATTTCTTTATTGTTGATTCACCAATTCACAGGAATCTCACTAGACCTGGGCCTAAACCTTGTGTAGAAGTACAATAGCCAATATTTTCATTTTCCACATGTCCATCCGTCCGTCTGTCCATCCGTCCATCCATCTCCTCCTCCTCCTCCTCCTCCTCCTCCTCCTCCTCCTCCTCCTCCTCCTCCTCCTCCTCCTCCTCTCTTCCCCCCTCTCTTTCATGCACAAACACACATACACACAAACACACATCTATTCATTTATCTATGCTGATGGTATTATGAACCATATAATTGGCTGCTATTAATCTGCACACAGAATCGTAGAATGTTAGGATTTAAAAAGACCTTGGATAATCCTCCCTACCCATGCAGTGATTCACTGTCTGTAAGGCAGCTAGTCTTTGAAGTCTTCTCTGATTCTAAGGAACCCAGCGATATTTGCAGAATCCTCATACATTGCTAATGGGTATGAGGATTCATGGCTGAAAGTATGTAGCTTGTCTAATGCTGCACATTTTCTGGCTGAGAGGTGAGAGTTGTGGCAAGACTGACCTACATCAACGTCTTAGTGACACTATCATTTTAACATCATATTTTGAAGGTGTTTAATGGGCATCCTACACAGATAGAGATCTTTCCAAATGAATTAACTACAAATAGCTGTATCTCAACATACTTTTGTCTTATGGGAAGATACGTGTGTCACAGTAGCTGCAAACAGGAATTTCCTGCTTGGATTAATTTGATTTATATCACTCTAGAACACATAGACTCATGCCTATGGCAAGGGCTGATATTGGTGGACACGCCTTTTCCTTCCTTGTGGGGTGCTGTGCTATCTATCCTTGAACTTCAAGCTCCTCCTAGCTTGTCTCCAAATGAACCACCCTTGTAATATATACTGATGTAGCAATGACAACTGGCTGAAGTTGGTTGAGTCTGTTTCCTGTACCTCTTGGAGACAGCATCTGGGCTGTGGTGATAATGAAGAGTTGGGCATTTCTCCTCCTGCTAGTAGAGATTTCCGGTCTAGCATCTGGATGTAAGTTTGCTTGTAAATAGACTATGCATTGTTTAGAAGAATTGCAACCAGAGATGGTGGCTTCATGGTTTGATTCTTTACGGTACTGAGAAAGAACTTGCTAGGGGAATTTCAAATCTGAAGAAATATTTAAATTGCCATTCTTTTTAATCCCATACGGGAATAAAACTGAATTCAGTTATGTATAGGCAGTGATCACTAGGCTGCCAATACATGATACATTTACTGTGGAGGAAGCCAAAAAAGGAGAAAGCAGATAAGAAAGCCGTAGATCGGGTATCAGTTGCATTTTTACATTTTTTTATGATGACATGTTCAAAAAGCCACAGTTGTACTGATTTTGTAATAAATGATTGAGTTGAATGGTAGGAAACTGATGCTGAGTAATAGGAAAGATTCACTACAATTGGATGAGGTATGCATGAATGTCAACACTCTCTTGCAGTCATCAAGTGGACTTAGAAGGGGGAACATTTCTTCAGCTTGATTCATACAACAAGCTCGGAGAATGAACCTTCACCCTCATCCTATACCCGAGCTACATATATTTACCACTATTACAAATCATACAACCTTGTTGTAACCCAATCAAGTCTGTTGCCAGTAGAAGAGAATATTTGTAGCTCAGGGTTGAATTGATGAGTCTCTTAGCTTGGTTATTTTCTTGAGTTGTTTCATTACCCAACTAGGTAACATCTTCAGTGCTAGAAGGGAGTGGTGTTTGCTCTCTATTTATGTATAGTGGTTCGCCAACACCTAACAGGGAGCAAAGAAATGTCTGCAAGAAAACAACCAAGATCAAGGAGCAACAAGGATTCCACAAATCTGTTGCTTTTGTTATTTTTCCCTCAGTGGAAACCCACACATATAGTCCCTCAAACACACACACACACACACACACACACACACACACACACACACACAGATGTACAGTATTTATTGGGCTGTAATTTCCACCTTTTAAAATTATTTGCTTTATTTATATATTGTCACATTATCCATGAACTCACAGTAATAAACTCAAGTCCAGGTAACATGCATGCTGGTTTTTGAAATAATGCCCATCGCCTCATACATCTAGGTGTACTTTTACTTATCATAAGAAATGAGGTAGAGGTGAACCATAGGAATGTTCAGTGAATCCAAAGTTCCATCCTGTATAAAACTTTTGACAGAGATCTGTATTATATATATATTATAAATAGTTGTTTTTATTGTTTTTAAATATCTTTTTAGCAATAAACAATTGGTTTGATACCTCTCCTGGAGATCAAAGCCTGTGTTATTGAACAAATATGCCCAGTGCTTCTCAGTCTTTTTGACTAGAAGGACATCATTTTGGTCCTTTTGAGTTCTTGTGATGATATTGTTACCCTCTCTTCTGGTGGCCTCTTTTTTATTGTTTTTGCTTTTCCAATCGTCAGGTCTTCGGCAATGACTTGCAACTTTCCATGATGTGTCTGAACTATCATTATTAGTGTTTTCAGTGAGCAGTATGATTTTACCTCATCTAAGAATCAATGACTTATTCTCATTGTGGTCCAGCATGATTTCTTTTTCATTGTTCAATGTTTCTGACGTTCCAGCTTTCAAACCATGGCCTTGAAAATATAAACTTATGTTTTCTATGTGATATCTCTAAGCTCAATCAGTCTTATATCTAAAATAGGAACACCACGTTGTCTCAAGAGCCCTTTTTCTGATGTTAATCCTTCTCACATCCATGACTACTGAAAAGCAACAGCAAGGTTTTCCATCACTTTGAGGCCTGAAACATAGGATATCTGTAATTCAAATCCTAAAGTAAACATATCAGGTTAAACCCACCTAACTCCCAACTCTCTGTTTCCCAAACTGGTTTGCTTAAATATGTTATGTGGCTCCAAATCTTTAGGGTTTTTAGCTACCCAAAGAAAGTTAATGTGTCCTTTGGCCATCAAATAGTTGCCCATTCCGAGGTGGCACAGCAGTTAGAGTGCAGTACTGCAGGCCACTTTAGCTGACTGTGTTCAGCAGGTCAGCGGTTCAAATCTCACCGGCTCAAGGTTGACTCAGCCTTCCATCCTTCCGAGGTAGGTAAAATGAGGACCCAGATTGTTGGGGGCAATGTAATATATATATATATATATATATATATATATATATATATATATATATATATACATTGCTTACTGGTGTACACTGCTTAGAGAGTGCTTGCACTTAAAGTGGTATATAAGTCTCATAAATAAATAAATAAATAAATAAATTCCAATTCTAAGCAGATATGTTTAGGATCAGATATGAGTCTACACTTTCTTAAGGCCTCTGAAAATTCTTCAATATTAGAATTTTCAATTTACTTTGGGAAAGAATTTTTTTTATATCTATATATCATGTTTATATCACATTTTTGCTTCATTATGATTCAGGAAAGTATCAAACTGCTTGTACCACAGACTGGGAGTGGTAACCTGATGTCAGTTCTCTTACTACTACCATAGCTTACTGGAAGAAGAGCCCTCATTGTAGATTGTGAGAGATGGAATTAGATCGGAAAACACTTTCACTGGAGAAATTTTAGCAGAAATTGACATTCATTAAGGATGCCATAATTGCAACATCCCTGTAATAAAATAGGATTGAATGTATTAAGAATCTGTTCAGTTCTTATAATTTATGATTCCTTGATTACCCTTTCAAGGAAGACAAGTCTATGGATATGTAGCCTTGTAAAAATGGTTTCAGAACATGGTAGATCATGCATGTCTATGGAGTTTCTCAGTCATCCAGTTCATGATTGTCCCAAAGGTACTTTTCATAAGGCAGCTGGACTCCCTTAGTTTTTTTCCTTGCTTCTCGTCCATTCTTCAGATCCAAAAACAACTTCTTGTTACATTTTAAGGTGGACAGTCTTGCCCCAAATTGCTGATATAATGAGCAAAATGGACTGAATATTGAAGGGATTAATTAAAGAAAGAAACCTTTGCGCGTCATTGCCGTATCTGTCATACTTGGAATTTGCTCCCTTGTGGTTTGACTTGCTTGTCAGAAACTAGCTGGGAATGTTGTAATCACATGACATAAGACTCTGCAACCATCATAAAAGTGAGCCGATTGCCAAATACCTCACGACCGTGGGGGTGGGATAATGGTCGCAATTTCAAGGATGGGTTATCCTTCTTTCTGGGACTGTTGTAACTTCAAATCATCATTAAACAAGCAGTTGTAAGTCAAGGGTTACCTGTATGGTATGACTGTCAAGGACAATATTGAGAACAGGGTAGCAAACAGAATTGCCTCAAATGGAACAATCCAGAATGCCCCCTCCCATACATACACACAATTTCTCAAGCAAGCTTTGAATAGTTTGATTTCTTTTCTGACCATAAAAATGTCTTAGCTTTTTGTAGTGTACTGCAGAATTCAACTGTAATTTTTTTTAAAAAAAAATCAGCTATTATTTTTGTTGAGGATTATATTGTTGGAATTGGTAGGAAATTCCAAAGACATAGTCTATAGGAATCACATGTTAGGTAAGAGGGCGAGGTTGTTCCTTGAAGTAATGATTATTGATCTATGCAGTGATAAAATGTTCTCCTAGGATGTTAGATTAAGAAAACAGCATGTGAATGTTCACAGAAAGCCACAGTTGGTACCTACAGAAACTGGCAAATCAGCGTATCTTCCTTATTAGTCTTCAGTGAATTAGGCTGAGTCAATGGCATTTTCAAGCAACAATTTTGTAACATTTTCTTCCTTCAAACTAAAACAGGGTGGAAATCAAAGTAGCTGGTGTGGGTGGAAGCATGGCAGCAATGAAAAACTATGAGTAAAGAGGTGTCCAACGGGTCTTTGGATGCAAACAAGAAATACAGATGTATCAAGCTTCTTCTGGCAGGCTATACTGGAACCAGCTCAACAGGCATGTCTGATTGGGAGTTTTATAGTACAAAAGCTAAGAAGTGATTAAGATAGGATTCCAGTGACAGCTGTGTATTAAACCTGAATCTTAGCAAAATCAATGTTCAGACCCTTTACCTCTTTCTCTGACCTAGGCTATGCAATGGGATGGATGCCCCCTCTTATGAGGGGGGGGGTACTTTTCATATTGCAATTTCTGATTTTGATAATGGACAGATCAGCTGTCAAAGTGTTTATGAACCGCAAAAGCTCATTGTGGCACAGAGATGCTAGAAACCTAGAAGAAGAGCTTGAAAGGGGGGTATAGTAGGAAAATAGCTGCCTGGGGCAGCAGGGTGTGTTTATTTGCTTTAAGGCAGACATGTCAAACTCGCGATGTCATGTGATGTCGCGCGACGTATCAGAACTTTTTCCCCATTGCTGGCAATGGGGTGGGCGCGGTTTCCTTGTGACGCATCTGGCCCACGGACCGGCAGTTTAACACCCCTGCTTTAAGGAGTTAGCTAGAAACAGAAAATTTACTTAGCTAGAAAAGCTCACACTTTTTTGGGATGGTTTGCCAATGCTGTCTTCTGTGTTTTTTGTTTAATTTTCCAACATATGCAATAGCCCTGGGATTTCCCTTTTAAAAACTTTATTTAGTTTAAAAAAGTTAGAGAAACATGGAACATTTAAGAAAGCAAAAAATAATGTACAGATAATAAAGCCGAGGTAGATAAACAACAGACTAAGAAAGTATTTCCTAAATGTTTGTCATCCCACCTCTCTTTAATTGTTAGATTTTTATTCCATCATTATTACTTTATACATAACTCAAGGTAGCGAATATACCTAATACTCTTTCCTCCTACTATTATCCCCATAGTAGGAGGTGGGAGGTGGGTTGGGCAAAGAAAGAATGACTGGTTCAAAGTCACCCAGCCAGCTTTAGTGTAGTCTTAATGTACACACCTTCCCTAATAATCAAAACATGAAAATGTAAACAAATGAACAATGAAAACAATAAAATGAAAGTTTGGGAAAGGTGGATTTATTGCAACAATAGAACTAAAAGGTTCTTCACATCTCCCCTGGACTCTGTCTGCACTGATCCAAGG